GTTTATTACATTTGTTTTTCCTGCTTGATATGTTATCTTGATTATTTATTTAACACATTTGGTTCTTCTTACATTTTATTTATTTTTTTAATAATTTAGAACATCTCATGACCGCGGCATTATTTTGTCTTTATTACTTTTAATATCTTTCCAGTCAGCGTTTAAAAATAGGTCCTAGCAAAGCAATATGTAGAAATATTTTGGTCTATTATGTTAAATGGAATATTGTAATCGACCAAGGAAATATTAATTCCTTCTTTAAATAATACATAGAAACTACTTATTTCCATATTGTTTTGCTATTTCTTCACTAAAGAAAATTTTTTGCTTATTTTTCGCTACAGTAAAGCAATTGTTAATTACTTAAGTTAAATATTTCTTAAGGTATAATATATATATATATATATATATATATATATATATATATATATATATATATATATATATATATATATATATATATATATATTAGTAGAATAATATATATATGCTATTCTGTCCATAGAACAAGGATATATATTTTTTTTCCATCTGCAAGATTGTTTATATTTTAAATGTATTTCATTTTTGACATAACTCAATTTATATATATAATCTTTTCCAATATTATTCTGCGTGTTTGTTAATAGTTTTCAATATCATTGTGTATGGTATAAGAAATATAAATAATTTATCATCTTTTAGTTAGTTATTAATATATAATATTGGTTAATATTTGCTGTACCGAATGATATTGGGTAGACCGAAGTGAAGGTGGGAAGATGGCATTAAAGCCGATCTGAAGGGACTAGGTTTGGACGGCGAACGGTAAAGGGAGGTGTGTAATAAGAGATTGGTAGTGTCGGCATCGAACCTTCGGGTTCGCTAAGCCTTTTATTATTATTATACACACACATAAATATACATACATATATAGGTTATGTACATACATAGATATTATTAGACAGGATGTCACGTAAGTAGAGGAAAATTTTTACAAGAGTGATAGCAAACTTCAAGATCTACAAAAAAAAGTATATATATATTCAGTCTAAACATGTGGGTCATCATCAGGACGTATTTCGAGCACTGAAGGTATTAAAGTACTCAATACTTGAATACCTTCAGTGTTTGGAACACATGTTTGGATTGATTATTATTGAGTCTTAATTATTTATCACCTATGCCATATTTTTGTTGATTAGTAAGCGATAGCTAAAGAAATATTTAACTAAAGTAATTAACAATTACTTTACTGTAAACTAGATAAAATTTACTTTGAAATGGAAAATTTATAATGAATAATTCTCCTTAATTAATAAATGTTTGCTTCATTAATATACTGTCTCATTGTAATTAATGTATTGATTAATTATTATATCGTACACTGTTGGGCTTAGTCTCTGTAAGTATTTTAAACCAAGAGTACTACAGCAGTTTTTTTTATTTATTTATTTAGTGAAATTTACAACTGTATAAACAATACAACTAATAAAAATGCAGACATTAGAAATAATGACAGAAACAAACTTCAAGAGATACTGCCCAGTGGTAGCACTCCCTTAATAATTCTAGGTGAGAAGATCACGAGGCCATCTTCTTTTCAGACACCAAGGGGGATTATCAGGAATCGAGGAAGAAGCAAGGCTGGAAACAAGTGGATTCGGATGGGACTGGAGTTTATCATGAAAGGATAGGTATCTGGCTCGGGCTAAATCAGAGGCATATGGAACATTAAGGTCTTTATGAATGGTTTTATTTGTGACTAAATATGGGGCATTGAGGATTTTACGGAGGATTTTGGATTTTAAGGATTGGATACGATAGAAATTCGATGGTTTGGTAGAGCCCCAAAGCTCAACTCCGTATGTCCATATAGGTCTTATTATGGTTAAGTAGATGAGTCTTTAGTAATTAATTGAAAGTTTAGAGCGTTTGTCTTGTAAGTGTTGGAGCAGTCGAAAATTAGAGCAGTGTAAGTAAAAGAAAAAATGTTTCAATCAATGCATTATTATTATAAGCTTTAAGTCTATATTAATTAAGTTGAGTTTTACAAAAGCCAAAACTTGAGATTCACATCTTCGTTTGTTTGTTTGTTTCAGAAGTTCTGTAAACAAATTGTGATGTTTAAAAAAAAAAAGTTAATGGACTTAAATTTCATTTATTTATTTTTTTGCAGTATGTATACTCTAACTGCTCAATTATTTAAATTATATTATCTGTGAGTCTCTATGGTTACTAAAGTATATTTCTTCCATCCACTCACTCATAATAAGAAAATCTATGAGTGATTTCTAAATGAATAATTTCTCAATAACGCCTTATCACTTATTATTTTCAATGCAGTGCACTTTTAAATCTCTTATTGTGTAACAAGATTTGTTTATTTTTTTTTTCAATGATAGTTTCCTGGTATTTATGTGCGTTGTTTTTTCCTCGAATTATAATATAGATTATTATTTTCTGTGTTTCACTGAATGTCAAATTTCGAGATTGCGGTGTTGGGAATTATCTAAATATTGGTTCGAAACGTACTCCAGATCATTTGTGTTAAGTGGCAGTAGCGTACGGTGGTCAGAAAAGGCAGAAAAACGGCAAAAATCCTAGGAAACTTTCAATTAAAGCAAGATATCTGAAAAACTGAATTTATTATAGCATTAATTCTGAATTAATATACAATAAAACTTTTTTGGTAGACCAACCATTATTATTACTGTTATTATTTTCAATAATAAATAAAATATATTTTGCATTTAATATGTTGTAAATGTGAAAATTTATTATAACAATTACCTATATTACTATCAAGAGGACACAGTGGTAAGAAAAGAAGAGCAAATCAACCTACAACTAAAAGTTGATAAAACCAAATTACATGGGGTGGTGAACTGAATGCGTTACCCTAGTATCAATTATGAGTCACGAAATTGATTTAATATTTCAATATTTTTTTTCAATTTTTTTTTGGTTTATATACTATTCCTCCAGTTTTCTATGACGGACTGGTAATACCGGTGACGCGGCTGAGAGAGAAGCGCTGGGATCTCTTAGAGTCTCGCTTTGTCCTTCACACGTGATTGAGAGGGCTGGGCTAGATCTCTTGCCTGATTGTAAATATTGTAATTAAGATGAAAGTTTTTCTTTTTTATATATTTATTTCTTTTACCTATAATTTATTTAATTTTGCTACAAATTTCTATATTTTATTTAATTTTAACTCTAAGTTACATTTCCTTGGTTTATTATAGTTTTTGCCTTTGTTATATAAATGTTTTTTTGTTTTTTTTTATTGTATTGTATATACGGTATGAATGGGCCTCATTCAGCTTTAGTACCCAGTGCCCTTAAGTATGGCAAAATGTATTATTTCTCAGTAAAAATATATTTAAAAGAAAGTTGTCTGTGACTGAAAGGAGTAAATTATATTAGGTATAAATTTCTTTAGATACAGATAGGAATTTTTCTTGATCGTTTTTAGTAAAATTTTATTCACGGAATTTGCCAGATAATTACAAAAATCTCAAATTATCGCAGCTGATTTTCGTATTCATCATTAGTAGAGTGTTCAAATAACATTTTCATTACAGTAAGACTTTGGCGATGGGAAAAGGAAATTCCAGGATCCGTTGAGTGATAACTTATCCTATGAAAAAACGATTTAAAAAAAAATTATTTAGAAATAACTTATCTTAGAACTTATTTCACTCATTTAAAAAAATTACACTACAAAAAATTATTTTCAGAATTCAGCAAAATGCCTAAAATATATTTAATAGAGTATATATTTAAAAGTTATTTACGTTCATTTTGAAAAGAATTTAATGAAATAGATACTAAGGAATATCTACAGTATTCCCTTCACTATTGGCATAGCTGGGGAAATACATTTGCGCGTGCGTAAGCGGAGGTGGTAAATGGAATTTGATGAAATTAATAAGGTACCATTTAAACACCAACCCGCACAATTACAGACAGACAGACACCGAACCAAATTTGATCCTTTGAACGTAAAGTACGAATGAAAGTTTTCGATTCCGAGTTTTTTTTTTTAATCTCTAACGAAAACAAAGCTTTCCTACCTTCTGTAGTGAGGAAACAAAATTAAAAAAATAATATTTTATAACTTATACTGAAGGCGGGGAGTTATTGGGGATTTATACAAAACTATTTATGTTACAGAGTTCAATGTGAAATGGTTAATTGTTTCAAATAATCAAAGGTACTTTAGAGGAAGCTAATTAACTAGAAAAAACGAAATTGAAGAAGAGATTAAGGTTAGACTGAAGGCGGGGAATGCTTGTTATTTTTCTGTGACAAAACTACTTAGTTCGCGCCTCTTGTTCCGAAACTTAAAAATTAGAATCTATAAAACTATTGTCTTACCTACAGTTCTTTATGGGTGCGAAACTTGGCCGCTTACATTAAGGGATGAGCAGCGTCTTAAGGTTTTTGAAAATAAAGTATTGCGTAGAATATTCGGACCGAAGAAGGATGAGTTAACCGGAGAGTTCAGACGGTTACACAACGCCGAATTGCGTGAGCTGTATCCGGGTAATATAATTGAGGTAATTTCATCGCGGCGAATCAAATGGGCTTGTAAAGTTGTTGGGCTTAGTAACGGGAGAATTCCTAAAAGGTTAATATTTGCTGTGCCGGATGGTAAGCGTCCGAGGGGTAGACCGAAGCGAAGGTGGGAAGATTGCATTAAAGCCGATCTGAAGGGACTGGGTTTGGACGGCGAACGGTGGAGGGAGGTGTGTAACAAGCGATTGGTGGTGTCGGCATCGAACCTTCGGGTTCGCTATGCCTTATTATTATTATTATAATATTTTATAACTATGAATTAGATAGCTATAATTGTTATGAAAATATGAAATACCTATTGTAAAAGAATATATAAAGTGTTATATCATTAGGTTTCAGAATTTATGTAAAATATTATCTATATCTCTAGTATTATTGTTAATTATTTTCTCCTCTAGGCTTGCTGGAGGTTAACGATTCTGGAATGTTCCAGCAACATGCGGTACACTATCCGGCAAGTAACAGTAAGGACAAACGACCTCCGAGTACGGACAATTAACTTTTACGATCTGAGATTGAGGTAATCAGCGGAGGTGAGGTGGGGGGATCGGCTGGCCTTGTAGTGCACTGCGACCAGTACCTGTACCTGTACCTGTAGTGGTGTATTAGTGTGAGCTGTGTGGTCTGTTAGCCCTGGAGCCAGGGCCCGAAAATCGACCTCATCGCAGGCTAAGGTTTAATTGTAAATTACGAAAGTGTATTTTACAGCCAAAATAGTCAGATTTTTTCGATATTTTTTGGATTTTTTACCTATAACTCCTAAATGATGCATCAAAACGAAAAATGTATACTTTAATAAATTAAAGAGCGTTAAATTTTGCGTCAAACGAGTACATAAACTTTAAAATTTTATTACGCCGTAAGGTATAAAACCACGGTCAACCAAAGCTGAGTTTTACCAATTTTTTGTCAAAAACTGAAACAAATTACTATAAATGGTCCTGTAACTGGGAAATGAGTTCCTTAAGTGGAAGAACCCATAGAATGAAAGTTGTAAAGCATCAAATTTTGTGTATACTAAGTACCAACTAATTTAATGTAAATTACTTACTGCTTACAAAATCGGTAATCTCCCGATGGTTAGAAATTGATAATGAAGGTAAACTTGATTTTCAATATTTCAACTGTATGGGTGTCTATTCTACTGAGTTAGTTTTGTTTAATGTCTGTTACATGCAGTATAAGCTTCTTTTGCATCTCTCAACAGCAAAAGATTTTGGTAAACGATGAGCCGAAAGATTCCGAATTTTTTAAAAGACTAACGAATCCCGATTCGAGATATATAATTGGCCTACAATAAAAATGTCTGACTCACTGAACGCAAAATTTGATGCTCTACAACTTTGATACTATGGGTTTTTCCTCTTAATGAACTCATTTCCAAGTTACAGGGCCATTTATAGTAAATTGTCTCAGTTTTTGACAAATTTAGTAAAGTTCAGCGTTGGGTGACTGTGGTTTTACACCTTACCACGTTACCAAATTATAAAGTTTATGTACTCGTTTGACGCAAAATTTAACGTTCTTTAATTTATTAAAGAATACATATTTCGCTTTGATGCATCGTTTAGGAGTTATAGGTGAAAAACCCAAACAATATCTGACTTTTTTGGCTGTAAAAAGTTTTCCCTTGGTGGCACGCGTTAGCAATTTGGTTTTTACATGTCTAAGCCCATATATACAAGTTAAAAAAATAAAAACTTTTTTCACATTTTTCATAATGGATTTCCCATTTCGATCCTCAAATTACTGGCCTAATATTCTTTAAAACAGCCGCCATTTTCGAAAGCAGCGGCTCTGGAACAGCAGACAAGGTTTTTTTTACTCAGAATAACATACACTTTCGTAATTTACAATCAAACCTTAGCCTGCGATCAGGACGATTTTTGGGCCCTGGCTCCAGAGATATGTAGTCGGGGTGAGGTTAATGCGGAGTATGTTCAGTACTAAAGCCAAGATATAGTGCAATAGCAACTATAAAGCGTTTAATAAAAACAACAATACAAGCAAAAACGTCTGCCAAGTAAGGTCAGTATAGGTTCCTCACCGTTTTCATTCTCAAGGAAATCGAGACCAAGACGAACCGGTTGAACTTCAATAGAAATAAACACAATAACAAATAAGACTTTTTTTTGTTTTTTTTAAAACTCAGAGTATAAATTACTCTAAATTTACTGAAAATTACACGAAATCTGAGTAACAGCAGTGATGCCAGTAACGTTTGGAATCGACTAAACAATACAGTATAAATTAATTTTTTTAATAAAAACTAAAATTTTATAACTCAATAACAATATTGTAATAACCTAGCTCCCACTCCATATGGTCAGTGCCTTCAAAATTTCAAAACCATTATATTGTTAACAATTATTTATAATAATTTTAATTATTAAATGGAATTCAATGAAATTGATAATAAGTTCTCAGCATATGTGTATTTAAATATCTATTTTGTTTGATTACTTTATTTTTGTTTAGTTTAGTATCTGTTAGTTTATACACATTTAGTTTAGTATTATTATACTGCTGTTTATTATTTTTATTTATTGTGTATATTATGAATGAGCTACTCTATATCACTATTACTATTGTCCTTGAATGTGACAGATTGTAATATATCTCAATAAAAACTATTAAAATAGTAAAAAAAAAAAAAAAGTTATTTCTATAATGTTCTCCAAATTTCCTCCAAGTTTGGGTCAAATCGAATGCGCCGTTTTCAAACTATATCAAATAACACATTTCGTGGTCTGAAAGCGGAAGTATTTTTTTTTTTAGAGTAGTAGATAGAATTTGATAAAATTTATGCCTATTTCATTTTAAGTTTAACAATCCCTAAAATTCCTCCAAATTTGATCCGTCAACAGAATTCAATAAAATTGACCTTGCATTATTTTTTCACAAATACCTACATTTTATCCAATTTTGAGCGAAATCAAACGAGCCATTTCTGGAATATTGGCATATCTACAAAAATGTATTTGCGCTAGCTGGTTAGACCTTTAATAAAATTGGTATGGAACCATCTAGACACCAACCACTATTTCTAAAAATTGGATAAACGGTAATCCACCATACCAAATTTGATCCTTGATATCAGAAAAGTAAAATCGAGTGGAAATTTTCGATTCTGATGATTTTCGAACCTCTAGCATGAATACAATGCTTCCCTACCTTCGCTAGCGAGGAAGCAAAAATACAGAAAAATCAACCAACCTTAAGAAAAATACAGAATTGGTCTGAAGTCACTTTCGGTTCGGAATCGGCATTTGCAACAAATTAATTTTTTTTTTTTAATTTTGTCTAAAATCATCTCCCACAGTTTTGAGACATCTTTTATACAGCCTCGATTGTTTTACTAACTAACTATAACTTCGCCTTATGCAAAAATAAATAAATACAATGAAGAATTTATTTGATGAATAACTCGAAAAGTATATAATTTTTTTCAGATTAATGTTCCTAAAAATTTTTATATATTCCACTAAATGAGTAAGCAATCTATTATAATAATGCTTGAGGATGAGTGCTATATATTATTTAAGTCCTAAAAAGATGTTGGGAATGTTTTTAAGCTCATTTTTTTTTTTTTTTTTTTAGCTTAACATCTACTCCAAACAATTTGAAAACCACTAGCCTTGATTGAAAACCAAGAACAAATGTCAAAAGTATTAGTTTTTATCTAAACGTATGGCCTAAATGCATTAGAGTAGACAGATAAGGTTCTGTGAATGCCAAGCAGCTGTTCGGTCTGACCATTGATACGGTTTACAGTCCCTTCGACAAGAACCTGACAGAGAGGTGCTATCTTTTACGGTTCCTGGAAGGAATAAACTTCTTAGTCTGAGAAAGTTTGAATATTTTATCGAGGACTAAAAGGATCGATATGGCGCAAAGTAATACGCCCCATTATGATGGTCAGCGGACAGTGAAAAATATCCCCAGAAGCTGTTCCGAGTGGAGAATACATTATGGAATACATTAAGGAATACATTCCACAACTGATAACTAGAGAGCTCCACTCATTGGCAGGTGATTTCTAGACTCCAGGCGATTGGCTTCACACGACTTTCCTAATGCTTTTAGACAAATTGATTAACATTTAAATATGTCCATTAAAAAAAAAAAAATTGAATTAGATTATTTTTCCTCAAAACTGATCAGAGAAATGATTAGAGTACGATTTATTTGATGAACTAAGCGGTCACATAAACTATCATTAAAATCATAACAAAAAATTAATATAATGTAACTTTTATTAGATATTATTAAATTACTAGCTGGTGTACCCGTCGTTGACGGCTGTGTAGTTAAAATTTTAGAATCTTTTTTTGAGATGGATTTTGTATTATGGGAGGAGGAGGGTCCACATTCAATTTCATAAAATTGGGTCGGGAGAGGAGAGAGGGGTTGTTTTGAAAATTTTTATGGTAGGGCTTATGGAAGTCAAAGTGTCGCAAAAGTCATAACAAAAACGCTGCAAATTATTCCACAATGGTTTATTATTTCCAAACAATTATAAATCTAAATTGTTTTTCTTAAATCATTAGTAATATGCTAAAAAAAAAAAAAAAAAAATAGCATTACTTCAGTAACACATTCAAAATTTAAAAACCAAACCAAGGATAAAACATTTGGAGTAGAACATATTAAAAAAAACGGAGACGATATCTTTGCTCCTAATAGTCCGATTTTAACGATTTTTTTTTTTAATTTTTTGTTTAAAATTTCGTAAACTTTTAAAAAACTATATACAATATGAACAAGAAAGTAAAAACTCTTCGAGTTATTCGGAATTTAATTTTACCATCCCTCGTAACTTTTTTTCCAGCTTCTTTTCGTTGAAGTATGTTATATAGATAAATTTAAAGGGCGTCGAGAAAATGACTTTAGCGAAGTTTCATTGAAATCGGTACATTCGTTTAGGAGCTACAGTCTATAGCAAAGCAGGTTTTTCGGCCGCCATTTTGAAAGTTAAAGGGGGAGAGTAATGTCGATTATGGAGGATCATCCTCGGGTGACCTCTGATTTTATATCCAAATCTGAAAATAACGGTCCAGTAGTTTTGGAGAAAATGCACGGACGGCGGACGGACAAAAAAATTTGTATTCGTTTTTCGAATTCTAGGCGTTCTGAAACGTGAAACCTCAAATTTTGAGAGGTGGTTAAGTTTTTGAATTTTTTGAGCGATCACAATGGTTGATTATTGAAAATAATAAACCAAAATTTGATATTCGGCTATTTGGTTAGGTACCACATAATTAAACCGACCACCACCGATCCATTAAAATTTGTTAAGTGTTTAATTTTCATTTATGATGAAGCGAGGTGATTGTGGAGTCGATTAATTAATCAAAGAGAGTTGTAGTATCTCCACTTCTTTTAACATTGAGTCACCTATTTCCGTGTAAAATTAGAACTTGATCTGAATATTGTGGTGAGCGGGGTGAAATTGTTGGAGTTTTTCCTGATTTCCGGCTAATTCGTTTGGCCAACCCTAAACATGTATACGACAACATT